AAGGTTTCTCACCCATCATCTGTACTTCTTAGCAAGTTTTCCCGACGTTTCGTCCTCAACCTGGGGACTTCTTCAGGGAATGAATTCTCGGACCGCGCGTTGGAGATTTATAACCTATGGGTGTGGTAAGCCACACCCTAATCCTGATACTAACTCGTAAACAATCTACGGTCTGCTTGATGTAGAAGGGAGCAGGTCTAACGACCCTGCTGAGGCTAACGACCCTAACTCCTTAGCATGTCACAGACCTATTGTCTGCTGGGATGCTCAAGTGGAGTGCAGGTTTCACCCCTCCTAACTCATTAGCATGTCACTGACCTTGTCCCAAGTTAGGGCGTTGTTTTTAGGATGTCGTCATAGATGCGAGGCAAAACAAATCTTAACCCTCCTCCTCTGTTAAGAGAAGGTTTCTGTTTCCTCACAAAAATGGCTTCTTTCACCCCTCTCTCAAACCAATTCTTCTCCCGAGCCAGAATTTTAACCTCTGTGTCATCCACCGTGTGGTTGGAGGCCTTGAGGTGGAGATGAACAGCCGACTGTGGCCCACTAGAGTTTTCTCTACGATGTTGGTAAAGTCGTTTTTGTAGAGTTTGTTTGGTTTCTCCAATATAGTGGTCAGTGCACTCCTCTTCACTACATTTAATTGAATACACCACATTGCTCTGTTTGTGTCTGGGTGTTTTGTCTTTGGGATGCACTAATTTCTGTCTTAACGTGTTGAAAGGTTTGAAATACACAGGGATTTTGTGTTGCCTAAAGATTCTTTGTAGTTTCTCTGAAACTCCCGCCACATACGGTAAGGACACCCCTCTCCTCCTACTTTCTTCTGTCTGTTGGACTGTGTCTCTGGCCTTTCTCGTCCTTTGGGCTTTAGTAAAAGACCACTTGGGGTAGCCACATCTGGAAAGTGCTCTCTGAACATGTTTGGTTTCTCTGTTCTTTCCCTCCGAGCTAGTGGGGACCTGGTGGGCTCGGTGTTGAAGCGTTCTAATGACCCCGAGTTTGTGTTGTAGCGGATGATTTGAATCAAAAGCCAAGTACTGGTCAGTGTGAGTGGACTTTCTGAAGACCTCAGTCTCTAATTGTCCGTTCTCCAGTATGATGACCTTACAATCTAGAAAGGCGAGTTCACTCTCCTTAGCATCCTCGCGAGTGAAATTTATAAAAGGGTCCACCGAGTTAATGTGTGCTGAAAATGGTTCCACTTCCTGTTTCTTTAACTTAACCCATGTATCGTCTACATATCGAAACCAATGGCTTGGCGCTGTCCCTTGGTAAGAGCCCAGGGCTTGTTCCTCCAGTTTCTCCATATACAGATTGGCCACTATAGGAGAGACTGGGGAGCCCATCGCACAGCCATGAATCTGTCTAAAGAAGGTGCCTCTAAATTGGAAATACGTGGTGTTAAGACACATTTCAAGTATTTCACAGATGTGGTCAGCTGTTAGTTTCGTTCTCTCCCCTAGTGTGGCGTCTTTCTGTAGGCTTTCTCTTACAGCCTCCACCGCCTGTGCCCGGTCCGAGAATTCATTCCCTGAAGAAGTCCCCAGGTTGAGGACGAAACGTCGGGAAAACTTGCTAAGAAGTACAGATGATGGGTGAGAAACCTTCCTTTGCTTTGATATCTGGTAACTTGAGAGTTTCATTATTTAGATTACTTTATTATGAGGAGGATCGGTGTCGCGTCCGAGGCTCTCGAGGGCAACGTAAATGTATTAAATAGATAATAATAGTTCTATGGTGGGCTAAAACAATGTTCACAAACAGCATTGCTTCTGTAAAAAGATCTGTGTCATAAAATAAACTGCTCTTTACGCCGGGAAAAATCAGTTGCCCACCATTCACCAAAACATACGGTCAAAAACGCGGAAATAAACAATAACAGCAATCCAGAGTGTCCGTGTGGCATTAGCATTAATTAAATTAATTGTTAATATAATTAAAATAATTAAATGGAGCTCCAACTGGTATTAAATCTAAAGTTTTTGAGAAATGTTTGCATTGCTTGTTAATTTTTGCTGCATAATTTGATCAAATATGTAAAACATGTCCGTAGCACGTTAAACTGTGGTGCCATTGTATTAATATACAATTATTTGCTCAAAAGTTGCCCTTTTTTTCCAATTTGCGTTTGAATATCTACATTTATTCTCATTCTTCTGTTTAATGGAATGCACAAACACAGCAGCGTGCCATCAAAGATGGCGTCTCCGAGGAGGTCATGTGACATTCATTGGTCTGTGGGAACTATGTATAGAAGGCCATCAAGACCTTACACCTGCACTTTTGCACTGCAGACTGTTGGCATCAAATGAACTCCTAAAGTTAGTTAAATGAAAATGTGTATGATTATGATCACCCACCCTAGACAGGGAGGATTCATTTATTTATTTTCATTTAGATATTCAGATAGATGCAAATATTTTTAATTTAACAACATCAGTATTAGAATTCACTTGTTTGTGTTACCTTTCAAATGAGGACACAGGATAACGCCCAACAGACAACTCACGTTTTTGTGTTGAGGTTTTCTGAAGCGTAAAACTTTTTTTTTGGAAATTGCATCAAAAGTTAGAAAACATAGAAAATAGATAAAAATATCAATGTACTCATGATGATCTCAAGCATGGAGATCAACATGAGTCTGGAGTGAAGGCTGGAGTTTTTGTTTTATTTTATTGAAAACATTTCTTACAAAACACACATGAGTAGACACATAAAACATACATGTACATGCCAGACACATACATACATATGAAATCATATTCTATATAAAGCATTCTACTAGTAGTTTGTGTTAAGATAGCTAAAGGTTAATACTTTTTGAAATAGTTTAAATATAGGATTCAATTTCACTTTTATGGATGTAAAATTTGCCAAACAGAAAAATTAAGTTCCTTTTGAAGGAAAGTGGGATACAATTCCTTCCATAATAGATCCACGGTCACGTCACATTTAGAGATCATTACTGCCCCCCTCTGGCCAACATAGTATACTGTATCAAATCATACAAACGATTTGAACTCGAATGGCATTTTCTCAAGTCGCCAGCATTAACGAGACCCTCTGCCCCTGTTGAATAGTAAATAAAACCAGACGTTCTGGAACAAAATTCAATACATTTTTCATTGTCAAAAGTGCATTTCTTGTGTGACAAACAGTATTATTTAAGATTGTGATGAGGCCCTCTGCATAACAGCATTTCTTTACCCTTCTTGACCACATAGTTCCCACAGTCCAGCTGATATCATTGTACACTTGCATGGGAAACCTTTTTCCTGACGAATTAAAAAAAAAAAAAATACTTAGGTGTTTAACTTTGTTGATAAACAGTTTTAAAAATGTTTTAAAAGTTATATCTTCAAGACAGGCAGGAGTAATAGTTTTTACTACACTAGATACTATGGGGCTCAAAAAATCTTGCCAAAACGCTATTGCAAGCATTTAACATTTTGTTTACCGTTTTTTTGATATTAACTCCTCGTTCATTTGCAAAAAAAGAGTCCATATGTTGTTTGAACTAACCTTCAAACATAAGAACTAAGCAACAAGAAAGCCTATGCATGTCTTAGAACAAAAATGTACATCAACTCATTCCCATACCACAGGGATTTGAGATACCAAAATACTGCCTGTTCTGAAACCATTGATAATACTAACAAACTCACTTTGCAGGTTTGCCCTAAAATGCCATTTCCACACCCATCATCGTTTACTGTATCACTACTCAATTGTTTAAATCAAATGAAAGGAGACAGCGCCACCTACTTTAGAGTTCCACTGGTGAAGAGGTGGGCAAAAGAGCATTAGCATCAAGTCGCTGCTGTACTCTTATCTATATTTCTAATTATATATCTAATTATATATATATATATATAATTAGTGTGGATAAGCTGGAGGTTGGAGGTTAGATGAGTGGCTAGACATGTGTGCATTGATAACTATGAATTTCTAACTACTTCTATTATTGTATTGTTAAGGACTCCCTCAGAAACAGAGGATCCATGAGAATGGGGCTATCCTTAAATAAAAAAAATAAAAAAAGACATTTCATCACTACAGTTTCTTAGTATTTACAAACACATTCATATTTGAAATGCCGAGGGTACACGTGTAACTTCCATGGCTCCATCCTCTTCCGCTGTACAATACTCACATGAATATGATCCGCATGCACAACGTAAAAAGTAAAACTAAAACATCAAGTCAAGTTGTGATTAAAGGTTTTTATTTTCTCAAGCTGCACTACCAGACAGGGAGACTTCTGACTATCTGCACAGGTATACATTTTTCATCAAAAGGTTAATATTCTTTGATACAATAAAATAAAATAATTATTTTAAAACAAAGTTAAATTAGTTAAATGAATTATGCAACAAGCATAATAAAAATCCCCATTAGGTCTTCAAATAAGAAAGCAAGTCGACAAAGTTCATATTCCTTTTTATAGTGTAAGATGCTAATACATTTTGATGGTTAAGTGCACATCTGTAAAGGATATAATGATGGCATTAATACATAAGTGCTAGCATCCGCATGCTACTACGGGAACAGTTATGTGAGCTATTTTTTTCCCAGGGGAGCTACAGGACTCATGTGAATTTTGATTAGTAAAACAAACATTGGCATTGCACATAATTGTGCCAAAGTGTTTAGGTTTTTAATGGACCATGATATCCTATCTCACTGTAATGTTTGTGTTCTGCCCCATGCTTATCATTAACCAATAAATACACTTCTAAACTCCTAATGATTGTACATATGCCATAAGGTTTTTTAAATTGATGTATGTTGAAGTAAACAATGCAATCTAATCTTAAGTCTAAAAATATACATGATATATTTTGAGCAATTCATATATTTTTACTTTAATTGTCAAATTGAATAATTTAATCTAGATCGAGTGTGTTCTGTGGTGACTGCAGTTATCTTGTAAGTAATATAAACTAGTAAAGCAACAGCTCAAGCCGTTTTGTCCTTCTTGTCCTTTTTGCCTTCACCCTCTCTTTCGCCAGCGTCACTCGCATCCCGTCTGCGTTTACGGTTACGAGCACTGGCCTTTGAAGCTGGAAGAGACTCCATCCCCAAAACTTTGTGCATCTGACGGAAAGCAAGTAATCGCAAGGCATGCTGGGGGAGAAACGGGAGATACAGTGTAACATATTGCATTTGAATCAGACTTTGTTTTTTGCCGATTGTTCAGTTCACCTGTGCACTTGCAGTTACATCCTCTCTGGCTTGAGGCATCACACTTTTTAAAGCATCAGTTTGGGCTTTCTCACAAGGATCCAGAATGCCTGGTCCCTCTGAAAACAGTAAAGTAGATGCTTAGACTCTGTGCCAGGTGTAGTTGAAAAGGTTGATTTTCCGTCGGTGCTTTGTGTTTTCCTGACCTGGGAGCAGGATCCCGGTAGAGATGGACTCTAGGACTCTGCGCATGGCCTCTCCGGGGCTGAGTGGTCCTGCTGCACTGCTGATGACCTTTTCAACCAACAGCTCTATGGCCTAAACACAATAATACAAAGTTAGGATTGATAATACTGATGATGACGGATGTTTTACAGATCCCTGGATGTGAAATTCAGATGTCCATTAGGCACAGGGGTTCCCAAACTGGCCAACAGGACTCTAACCTCAGAATTGTAAGATGCTTTCACAAATCACAACAAAATAGACCTTTTCACAACGTGATAATTCACACATAGTTACGGAGGAGCATATTCTTAAGAAGCACTTGTATGTATAAACTAAAATGAACTTGAATAGGTGTATTTTAAATGTATGACTGCATTTAAATATTTGATACAAAACAGTATATTTTGAGAGAAATTAGATAAAATAAAACATGATACCCAAAGTAATATCATGAAACCAAATTCAAGATGATTAATTTAAATGTTAAATTGGGGTCTGAAAAGAGTACTGTAAGATTTAGAACACCTGCATTAGTAAACATAAATATCTACCTAAATACACTAGCTAAAAATACAAACTCATGATGTGGTCTAGTTAAGACACATCAGTGAACAGTCTGCTGTGTTTGTCCCACTGAGCTCCCAATGTTGCAGTGGGAAGGAGAAGTAATTTTTAGATTCAATGCCATTATAGAACAATATTTATTCAATTGTTTGATTAAAGCACTAGATTATAAAATGCTTATAATAGAAGAGAAGGGAACACACTACATGAACCAAGCAAGCAACCTTTCAGTCATTGCTTTAACCCTTTATGTTCACTCCTTGAAGAAAGCAATGTATTTTTTTTATTTTTTGGGGATTTTCTAAAATGTAGCAGCACTAATAATAAAAATAATATGTTTTTTTTAACCCATAGTTATTTCAATGATAGACTTTTACCAAATGGTAAAATAGCAAAAACCAAGTGAGATGCCCCAAGGAGGTCAATTTTAGTTCCAAGTATGCTTCAAGTGGATTAAAAAGTGATCTATAAAATGTTTGAAGAAACCATTAAAGGGTTAAATTACAGTGTGATGTAGTGGGGGTTGTGAGTTGGCTTTGTGCTTGTTGTGGGGTGTCTATCTGAAAAGTCGGTTGAAACTCTCGCTGAGGATTTTTGACGTTACTCTCTTCTAGGTGCATGTCATTGATTCAGCAAGCCGCATTATCTTCATGTGATGTGTACGTGAAGAGAAGCCGACTGGCTGACATGTCTGACCTGCACCCAGGAGAGACCAGATGCTGAGCTACAGTGCCTTGCGAAAGTATTCGGCCCCCTTGAACCTTTCAACATTTTGCCATATTTCAGGCTTCAAACATAAAGATATAACATTAAATTTTTTTTGTCATGAATCAACAACAAGTGGGACACAATCGTGAAGTGGAATGAAATTTGTTGGATAATTTAAACTTTTTTAACAAATAAACTGAAAAGTGGGGCGTGCAATATTATTGGGCCCCTTTACTTTCAGTGCAGCAAACTCACTCCAGAAGTTCAGTGAGGATCTTTGAATGATCCAATGTTGTCCTAAATGACTGATGATGATAAATAGAATGCAACTGTGTGTAATCAAGTCTCCGTATAAATGCACCTGCTCTTTGATAGTCTCAGGGTTCTGTTTAAAGCGCAGAGAGAACCATGAAGACAAAGGAACACACCAGGCAGGTCCGAGATACTGTTGTGGAGAAGTTTAAAGCCGGATTTGGATACAAAAAGATTTCCCAAGCTTTAAACATCTCAAGGAGCACTGTGCAAGCAATTATATTGAAATGGAAGGAGTATCAGACCACTGCAAATCTACCAAGACCCAGCCGTCCCTCCAAACTTTCATCTCAAACAAGGAGAAGACTGATCAGAGATGCAGACAAGAGGCCCATGATCGCTCTGGATGAACTGCAGATAACTACAGCTGAGGTGGGGATGGTGTGTTCAGGGTGATGAGCTGTGTTGCTTTTACGCCAAACATATCGTTTTGCATTGTGGCCAAAAAGTTTGATTTTGGTTTCATCTGACCAGAGCACCTTCTTCCACATGTTTGGTGTGTCTCCCAGGTGGCTTGTGGCAAACTTTAAACAAGACTTTTTATGGATATCTTTGAGAAATAGCCACTCTTCCATAAAGGCCAGATATGTGCAGTGCACGACTGATTGTTGTCCTATGGACAGACTCTCCCACCTCAGCTGTAGTTATCTGCAGTTCATCCAGAGTGATCATGGGCCTCTTGACTGCATCTCTGATCAGTCTTCTCCTTGTTTGAGATGAAAGTTTGGAGGGACGGCCGGGTCTTGGTAGATTTGCAGTGGTCTGATACTCCTTCCATTTCAATATAATTGCTTGCACAGTGCTCCTTGAGATGTTTAAAGCTTGGGAAATCTTTTTGTATCCAAATCCGGCTTTAAACTTCTCCACAACAGTATCTCGGACCTGCCTGGTGTGTTCCTTTGTCTTCATGGTTCTCTCCGTGCTTTAAACAGAACCCTGAGACTATCAAAGAGCAGGTGCATTTATACAGAGACTTGATTACACACAGGTGCATTCTATTTATCATCATCAGTCATTTAGGACAACATTGGATCATTCATAGATCCTCACTGAACTTCTGGACTGAGTTTGCTGCACTGAAAGTAAAGGGGCCGAATAATATTGCACGCCCCACTTTTCGGTTTTTTATTTGTTAAAAAAGTTTAAATTATCCAATAAATTTCATTCCACTTCACGATTGTGTCCCACTTGTTGATTCAGGACAAAAAATTAAAATGTTATATCTTTATGTTTGAAGACTGAAATGTGGCAAAATGTTGAAAGGTTCAAGGGGGCCGAATACTTTCGCAAGGCACTGTATAAATCAGCTTCACGCTCTCCAGAAAAGCTCTACGTGTCTATTAGCATTACCCAGTCAGGCATCTTTCCCCAAGTTGGCACACGCTGGCATAAATCTCTCAAGACTCGAATAATAATGACACAGGACTGCAGCCCGTTGGCCCGAGCCTTAAAAACATATGAGAGATGATTCAAACAATATGCTGAGACGATAAAAACTATGAACTATTGTTTATCATTTACCTGAAACCATTTTGCATGACGAAGAGATGCCAAGTAATCCAAACACTTGTTCTTGTTCAACAGATCAGGTGGGTCCTTTTCATCCACGCCTACGACAGATACAACACTACATGCTTAATGCATTTTTACATGAAAACTGCCTTAAATTAAATGAACTCCAGTATACAAAGAATTAATGCTCTGGATTAAAACAGGGGATGCCATCAACTAAATATTACAAAACATATTTCCAATGTATAAAACAGTAAAAAGAAAACCCAATGCACTCATTATGAAGATTTATGAAAGTAAGTAAGTAATTAAGCATGGGTGGACCTCAACAGCTAGCCTACTTTTACTGTGCGGCTCACATTATTAAGAACAGGTTTAGGGTCCAAATTATACATTATAAAAAGCTTCAACTACCAAGCAATTTGCACTGATGTCTGATAGTTCTCTCCAATAAGTGCTTGGGATTTCCCACGCTTGTGTTCATGTGTTTTGGGTAATATTGACTTCGTACCTTAACTGTACAATCAGAGGTACACAAAACAGCACACTCTTCCAATGTACAGCAGCTGCAGAGGGAATTGACCGCGTCACATTTTCAAAAGGTGCTATTGCAGCTTATAAGCCATGATCCTCTCCGTGCAAAAAAGCGATAGATGTCCATGACGAAACAAGATCCTAAAAGTAACTTAAAGCTGGGGTATCAAACATGTTTTGTTTAACCAATAATACATGTTTGTCCCAACAGAAAACATGTCATCTTTTACTTTTGTATACACTAGAGTATAAAGTGAAACGTATTTTCTTCTCGAACGGCGCCTCTTAGCACAGGTCCGTGCTCTACGAGAACTTTTCTAGTTACTTTGACTATAATCAAGAACATATCAAATACATGAATGAATATCATGGCCCCAGCTCACAAAGCAGATATGGTAATCTATCAAATCAATTACATTGTTTTCTCTTTCACGCAGAGGAACTAATATTGTAACTTGACAAACTTGATTTACTTTATCTTCACATTTAAACAACTTTATACAAAAATATGGAACATTTAAAACTACTTTCACACGTCAAACTGTCCACCATCAAATGTTGTGAATTTGTTTTATTCTTTATGAAACAGAAAATCTGCATCTCTCAGGAGAGAGAAACCCAAGTTTTGATCAAACCTCTTTTGTGAACAGTTCACGTCAATAGTACCTTTTGAATTGAATAATTGAATAGTGTCACAGTCAAGACCACTTGCTTTGTCACTTGTGCCAATACAGCGTTTTGTCAAATAGAGTTTAAAATGTAATAGAATACCCTCAAACATAAGATTGGCCAAATGCTTCATACTTTCTCTGCTACAGTGCCAGGACAGTTCAGAAGCTTATCCATGAGGCTTCCATGTCAACTACAATAGCATCAACATATAAGATTAGTCTTCTCATCTCATATGTTAGCATCAACGTATGAGATTAGTCTTCTCACAAGAAAATGTGGTACTAAAAGCCACTTTTTGAGGTCATACCACTTAGAATCACACGGCCATGTTTATCCAACATTTTAGAGTTGTTGATTATGTCAAGCAGACCTGCTTGGTGAGGATGCTGCGGTCTGCTTCTCTACTCTAAAAAGGCTCGATAAACTAGGTTTTTCTGTTCTTAGTGGTATGGATATAATTGTGAACAAAGGCGAGCCATTGCCTTGCCTAGGTCTGCTGATACAGACTGGGGGACACTGATCAACAAACCCAAACAAAATATCAAACAAGAACAGTGTCCACAGAAAACATTATCATCATGTTTTCAAAATGGAGGGAAAAAAACATTTAAATGCAGACAGTGTTGTAGGAGGTGAAGGAGTGTTTGCGACACAATGACCCAAACCACTATGGCTAATGATATGGAATAAATAGTAGCATAAATGAGTTTTATTACTATTATCCTTTAACATTATCATTGTGAGGCGATTAAAGGACACTCCTGCACCTTAGTCTTAAACAGGGATAATGAGGGGAAAGGGCTTTCCTTGCCCTCAAAATCCCTTCACAAAAAGTAAAACAAAAAAACAAAACAATTTATTTGGATTATGAGATTCTTTTTGAAAGCACTTACACTGGGGAATTATGTTACGAATAGTAACCTAAGCTTCCATTGTCCATCTGTTTCAATCATTTCCCACAGGCTTTTGAGCATGCATTTAGAGGATTCTCACCCCCTAGTGGCACAGAAAGGTCGGAGAGCCCGGCTTTTGATTCCCATGTTGTGACGTTTGTACATGTGTAACTAAACTAATGGGGGAAAGAAAATAAATGGGTAATTTCATTGTTGAGGATTTTTTTCCCTCATTACTAACCGTTACTAACTGATGTTTGTTTGTCACTTTCGATCCTAACAGTAAGCTAGGGCACTGTAACATTTATAATACACTGTTCAGAATGACCCTAACATTTTGTTGTATGGTACTGAAAGCTTTGGCTTCTCTAACCTTTCTCAGCCGCATTTCCTGCTGCCTGCTTGTCCTTCTCAGCAGCAGGGTCCTCTCTCATCAGCGGCGAGGTAAGACAAATGGTCACCTGCATTTTGGGCTCCTTGCTTGAAAAAATGACGATGTTGGCCTCCTCTGGGTGAGCTTGCACCTCATACTGATCTTCAGAAAATGTCTGCCAGTTAAAAGGACACTTGGGATTACTCACTACAGAGGAGAAGAGGTGCTGGGACACATTTTTTCAACAATTTTCACTTCTTGTATATTCAATTCACATTTATATGTGTTATATAAATGATTCTGATTCCCTTTCTGAAGGACCTCGTCTCACTCTGTAGGATTCAGGTGTCATACCAGGCAGAAAATCTAAAGATCAGCAAAAAGCATATTTTTTATAAAACACTTAATTGCACTGAAGCAATTCAAAAGAGGAAACATTTAGTGAAGCAGACATTACAGCCTTGTCTTGAAAGCCTTAAATACAAACCAAACTTTTTCTGCACGCTGAAAATTAAAGATGGATCATTACCAAAAAGGACAATAAGAAGTTGTGCTTTACACTGAAAAATAACACCAACATGTATTGGTGAGATAGGCCTCCTCTCTGACAATGTTTAAAACCAGGTTAAAAACGGTTCTGTTTAGCTGTGCATACAACTGAGGGATTTTATATTTTTATCTTTCTTTCTATCTTTATTTTTAATGTACTGTGATTATTTATGATTTTAATGCTTTCTTGTTTTGTTCAGCACTTTGAGTTGCCTTGTGTATGAAATGTGCTATACAAATAAACTTGCCTTGCCTTGCCTAAGTATGGAAAATTATTGAAGACTGCTGTTGTGATTTAGGGCAACACAAAAATTAACTTCAATTGTACCTAAATCAAAATTAAATTCAAATTTTTATTTCCAATGCTGAAATTTAAATAATAATAATAATAATAATATTAAGTGCCAAAAACACAATTTAAGTCTTAATGAAGTCCTATTTAGTTTAGAGTGCAACTGTAAGTTTAACCACAAGAAATACTACTAGCATGAAATACATGTTCATTGCGATATAAAAGTATGTTTGGTGAATATAACCTTTTTCCTTCCCAGTTATTACTCAACACTTACCGCTAACTCCTTTGGCAGCTCTTTAGCGATGTTTTTCAGTAAGGAGATTGTAGGCTTCTTTGCAGTCAATAATATAAGCTCCACATTACGGTCTCCTTGTAGCAGCAGGCCCTTGGCAAGGATGCCAACTCTCATTACTCCTTTTAGTAGGCGCAAGTTGTCAGTACTGTAAAAACATATTATTACAGCTACAAATATCAGAAACCCTATCCTTCAAATGCAGCTCACCCTTTATCATCCCCTTCCTCAGTATCAGGTGCAGTGACTGCAGGAGGGTTCTTCTCCAGCAGAGAGTCTGACACCAGCTTGAGAGCTCTCTCAGAGTGGGACACGATCTTCTGAACAGCCTGAAGCTCTTCCTCCACTGGATAAATGGTGGAGTGTTTAGCCATGATGTGGCGGTCATCAGGGGAGTCCGGCCGGCGGACACCTGCCTAATAGAAAAATAATGACAGTAATATTTACATTAACACATTATTTTTACAAAAAAATAAAAAGACTTAATGAAATACAGTGCTCCATGATGGATGTATTTGAACACATAGCAAAGGTTGACAGGCTTACTATTTACACAACTAAGAAAAAATTTGCTCTCTTAACTCAAAATTAAAATTCACAATATATTGACTGTATTGTGAGTATCTCGAGTACCAAATGCAATCAAAAAATGATTTATTTGATTATTAATTCTGAACATTCATGCAAAAGTAGCATAGTAACACAATATATATAGGTGCTATGTGTATGTACGTGTGTGTGTGTGTGTGTGATGGCAGCATGGTGACCGGGGGGGTGAAATAAAAAGCCAAAATTTGTCGTATTGGGGAAATAATAAATACAGTCCAAAGAACAATAAGGTAGGCAGTACTTAATGTTGATTTACATTCTATGATATCTTAATGATGTCATAATATCTTAAAGTTCATCTCTAAATTGAAAACATTTGCAGTACAGGAATATTGCATCAAAGTGGTAAGCCCTGACCATGGATCTATAATAATAACTGGATAGGGTATTACTAGCTTAAAGCTGTCCCACCCATGGGCACAGGGGGCGCCCGTGGTACTGCAGACTAAATTCACGTGGGCTACCCAGAAAAAAGTCCCATAGATCTCAATGTATATTAAAACAGCTCGACCTCAGCTGACAGAGAACCTACTGCTTTCATCAAGGTCGGATTTTGTGGGGATTTTAGTGTCCCTTGTCATCCTGAACTTTTTTTTCTTCTTAAATCCTTCGGTTTTCTTTAAATTTATACTTTACTGCCACAAACTCTGCTCCGCTCTACCACTGCTCTGATCATCAGCTCTGATTGGTCAAAGTGCGGCCAAGCTCCTCTGTGCACGTGCATGAGAGCCACACACGCGTATTTGGCGCAACGCATTATGGGAGCTCGTCCACTGTGCAGAACCGGGAGGACCAGACGATGCCCAAATATAGGCGGGTTCAGCTAATCTCCCGGTCCTCGGGAGTCCCATGTGCTACTGAGCACAAGCCATTCATTTGAATAGGGCGCCATCCTGGATCACCGGGGCTTGGCCCTGACCCAAATTGTTTACTTTGAAGTAAAACATTAGAATCTTACCAGTAGTGGCGGCACAGGCATACCCGGCCGGCTCATCAGCGGCGGTGGAGGCATTCTGCATCGCTGATCTCCCCAGTACATCTGCTCTTCCTCCATACGCCTCCAGTACATGTCCTCTTCATATCGCCTGTGGAATATTAAAATAGCTAATACATTTCTTTGTGCTTTATATATTTCCACTATGTCTAAACTACATAGCACTGACAGTTTCCCACTGTGGTAAAAAAGATGCTCCACAAAACGTTTACATTTTTAATATTAAATATACGAACAGAAAGTGAAGATGAATAGAAAAGTGCCCATTCTTTGATGGGACTTTAAAGCTGAAGAACATCATCAGTATAACAGAATCCATTTAACTAGGTCTTTTCTCTCAGTTCTCACATGCATCTTTTGATCAGCTTTCTTAGACAAGTGAAAGGGAGAAGCTCTTTTTTAACTCATCAGCTCTCAGCCCAAAGCATCAAAGTGACTCTTACAAGTATGCAACAATAAAATATGTTCTAATAAAGACAAAGACACCATGTTGTGGTCTAATTTAGTCAAACCTTTACTGACGAAATATGTATAATTACAGTAGCATTTGATCTTAGTTTTACAGTACTTCAATTACAACTAAACTTATGTTGTTGGTAAATTGAGGTGTGTAAAGATTACATCCGAACCCAAGTGAGTTTATCTTCTTCATAAAAAAGGGACACACTAGTAATCTTTCTATTTATTCTGAGTGGGACTCAGAGACCTCACCTCATTTCCATGTGCCAGCGCTGCTCATCATCTCTCTGCCTCTTCAACACAGCCTTTTGCTTTTGCTTTTTTAGTTTGTTCTCCTGAAGCTTTCTGGCCCGGTTACTAGGTTTAATCTCGACTGGGAGCTCAGGATTTACCTTTTTCTAGATGGGGAATGAAAACAAAATGAATAAATCTTTGTTTTGTGCACACAGCACCCTCCAGAGGCATTTTCAAACTAATATAACAATAGTTTAACTTAATTTTTCTTAATAAGGTCCCATATTTCGCTTTTCTTAATTTTTCACAAGCCATCCTAAGCACGTGTTAGAAAATAATTTGGGTGATAAACCATACAACACTAAAATCTTACATAGAGGTGATGTCACTTCGATAGATGGGTTTCCATTGACGTCACGCACTACCCACAATTCCGCAGTTTGCCATATTGTAAGTCTAGCCGCCGCTAGTTGTAGGTAAACAAAGCATAGCACATCACTTTTTTGCACTAAAACATGCCGACTACCTGCGTCGTTTGGGGGTGCAGTAACCGTGCAGATTGTGGGGACAGATTGTGGGAAGTTATGCAAAATAACTTCCTTCAGCTAAACGCAGACAAAACTGAAATGATTGTCTTTGGTCCCCAGAAACAAAGAGAGCATCATCTGTCACCTCCAGTCTCTCTCCCTAAAACTAGCTAAATCTGTGCACGTGTGGTTTCTATTCAGAGCTGCGATTTGACTGTGATACCATGTATATATGGGCCTCAAGCGATCCCCTGTAAATGAATGAGAGGGGGAGGAGCAGGAGGGGGGGAAGGGTGGTAGACAGAAGTGATTTACGGCCTGTGATATTAACTGCTTTGTTCAAAATAAATTATTGATTGAAAGAAATATTGTATCATAAACATCATATTTTTTAATTGTAAAACTGTTAAGTGAAAGTAAGCCATTTCTGGCGAAGTCCACCCATAGATCCTTGGTCTTGCTGCATTTCATATGGATCCAAATCTCTGATCACTCAATTTCTCCAAGGATCTTGCCTCACAGATTACTCCAGTGTCCAATATACTTAACGCGGTCAGCGTCGGCCGAATTCGTGGCTTTAGATGACATGGGGACAAATGATCCATGACAAATGATCCGTGCAATATAAGCCAGACGAACAACATGGCGTTTGCGCAAAGCATTATGGGTAATAAGCACGTGATGGAAAACCATCTATAGAAACGCTAGGATTTGTGCTCCTTTCCCTGAGAGCCCATCTCCCCCCACCGCGAGGTGCGTTGTCTTAAACAGACTTTGTAAACACACAACTATTTAGCTTTCGCCAGTACATTATCATTTCAGACCTGAGAATACACTTTTTCCAACAATGACAATCCGTCACATAGAGCACCATGTCCTCGATCTAGAATCGGACCCTAATCATTTAGTTAAAAGTGGCATAGAGCGAGTTAGTTTCATTGTAGCTACAGATAGGCTGCTTGTTAGAGTATTTTATTGTGGAAATGACACCATATTTCAAGATCAGTGGTTGTTTCATGGTAAACAAGCAGTCTTGCATGATGTGTAACTCGCAGAGGAACAGATTTGTTGCGGATTTCAAAGGCAGATCTGCGTGAATAGAAAGTCCAGCTACACTCGCGCATTCTTTGTCTTCAGCCCAAATTCACATAGTTACAACCAAAAACACATTTTCTCCATGTTGACATAACGCTTTCGTCGCTGTCAATAGCAGAAAAACGGCATAGAAGGAAAACATACTGTGGTAGGCGAGGGACCATAGGCTGGGAAAGGCTGTGCGCGCTGATTCGTTGTTTTGGTTTCTCACTAATCAATCACCTCCTGGAGGCGGGCTTCTTGGGCTTGTGCCGCATAAGAAAGTGATAATATATGGGACCTTTAAGTCGTATCATTACCTTGTACTGCAACCTGTGCCTTCTTCCCTTGAGATGCATGTCTTTAGCATTTGGATCATTAAAGCTACATTCACACAATTTACAATGGAATCTGATTACTTTGCCATCATCATTAAGCACCTGGAAATGGTAAGAGAAAAAAAAAGCATTATATATGAAATATTGTGAAAAATACACAGTAACTTGCAAAAGTACTTGAAGTTCAGCACATTTTGTTTATATACATAATTTAGGTTGGCCTAACAAATAAAACAGACTCCTGTGAACTGATACAAAACACATTAAAAAAGATTAAAATCCAGCGCCTCAGGTGGGGGACGCAGTTCTTGTGGGGAGCTGCTGACCTCGACTGGGGATATTGTCGGGCGGTGGACGGAATACGTCGAGGTTCTCCTCAATCCCCCCGTCACATCCTCCGTTCCCGAGAAGAATCGCATTGAAGTCAGACCTGTTCCCGGTGCATGTTGGCTTGCATGATGGCACCAAGACTGCACTTTGTCACCAGTTTTGTTTACTATCTTCATGGACAACATTTTGAGGCGCACCCAGGGAGCGGAGGGGGTCCGGTTCGGGGACCCAAATATAGGCGAGTTATATATTTGGGTCCCCGAAATAGCAAATATATAACTCTGAACTGCAGACCCGTTCAATCTAATCTCTGCCGTTTGCGGACTATGTTGTCCTGTTGGCTCCAACGAACCAGGACCTGCAACAAACCAGGACCTGCAACATGCACTGGGACAGTTTGCAGCCGAGTGTGAAGCGGCTGGGATGAGAATCAGCACCTCCAAATCCGAGGCCATGGTGCTTGACCGGAAAAAGGTGCCTTGCCCTCTGCAGGTGGGTGGAGAGGTCCTTCCTCAAGTGGAGAAGTTCAAGTATCTCGGGGTCTCGTTCACAAGTGAGGGAAGGATGGAGCGTGCGATTGGGTAATGATCGAAAGAACAAGATCGCAGATACAAGCGGCCGAAATGAGCTTCCTCCGTAGAGTGGCCGGGTGATCCCTTAAGCCTAGCGTACATCGGACTGGCAACTGATTATATCCGTCGCTTATGAGTTGCTGCCCCGCACACATCGACAATCTGACGAAAACGGGCAACTCCCAGTGGCAGACCACCGAATAACAGCGCGTACATCGACAGCAACTGGCCGTCACCTACAGTGTGTTTTCTGACAAACTGTTGCGGGCTCGCAATACACGCAATATACACACGTTGTCGGAGCGGCGCATGGAGCGCGCACATCGGGTCATATCTCCGAAACTGAGGACAACTAGTTGCCGAAAAGTAGAACACGGGCAACTGACTGAAACTGGAGACCGACTGTTCATCTCCAGTTGTAAGAGCGCGCACATCGACCGATTTCGGCAACTGATCATCTCCCATCATCTCCTCTCAGTTGCCAAAAGCCGCCTTGCAACTAGTTGTCCCCAGTTTCTCTGTCGATGTACGCTAGGCTTTAGAGATAGGGTGAGGAGCTCAGTTACATGAGAGGAGCTCGGAGTAGAGCCGCTGCTTCTCCACGTCGAGAGGAACCAGTTGAGTTGGCTCGGGCATCTGTTCAGGATGCCTCCTGGACGCCTCGCTCGGGAGATGTTCCGGGCACGTCCCACCGGGAAGAGGCCCCGGGGAAGACCCGCGGAAGACCCAGGACTCGCTGGCCTGGGAACGCCTTGGGTTTGCCGGACGAGCTGGAGGAAGTGTGTGTGGTTAGGAAAGTCTGGGCGTCTCTGCTTGGACTGCTGCCCTCGCAACCCAACGGATGAAGCGGAAGAAAATGGATGGATGGATGGATGTTTTGGACCATAACTCGTTGATGGCCCAAAAATGCATCATATGTGTAGCTCCGGTAGTCCTGATAAAGCAAAGCATCAACATCTGGACAAGGTCATCAGGAAGTCCGGCCCTGTTCTACGCTGTCCCCTAGACAAAGTGCAGCAGGAGGAGTGAGTGACACTCCTTTTTGGAGAGAAGTTTCTGTGACAGACTGATGCACCCTGTGAAGGAGAGGACCCGCAGGTCTTTTCTTCCTGCTGCTGTCAGACTGTACAACAAGAACTTTTGAGCCTGTACATGCCATTCACCAGAACCAATATCTCATTGGTCACTTAACCAGCTGTCATTATTACTATTATTTATTCTGGTCATATTGTCTGCAACTAAAGTACTGCTCAATACAGTGTCCACTCCACAAGTGTACTTATCTTGATCTAAGTGTAATTATAGCTCAAAAGTTGAATCACTTTATTATCCTTATGTTTTACTAAAGAAGCTAATGAGTTCATAAAAATGCTTATTACTAAATACAAGTTGTATTATAATCCGTAACTTAGTTTTGAAACCTTGCAGAAATGGGTATAGCTCCTTTAACCATTATCTTAAATAGATCTTGTTTCATGTGTGCATAACTTGAGTCCTGTTATTTGCTGTTATTTCTTCTTTACTCTGCTATAATATGGGCAACAAAATTCCCAACTGAGGGACGACTATAGGTCATCTTATAGATGGGTACCTGGGCGCTGCAACACAGCAACCACATCTCCTACAGCTCCTGACAGAGGAGGGTAGGTCATGTTTTCACACTGCAGACCCGTTCAAATGCTGAGTAGACCCGTGTCAACACTATGAACAGAGGTGTTTTAGATCGCGTTATGAAGGTAGGTTGAGGAGGGGTCGTAAATGCGCAGTGTACTTATCCACATGGAACTATATAAACTTTGTTTTTTTAAATGAATGAGGACAAATTAAAGTGACTGCTGCTCAATGCATTTTGACAGAGCCTTATTATCTCTTGACATATTTGCTCTGCACCATTTTACACAAATTGTAAAACGGCGCAGAGGATGAATGGGAAAGCACATATGACATGCAGTTCCCTGTGCATGGCTCGTATGTGTGGCACCTACCTGTGGCACGTACGTGTGGTGCGTGTGCCGTGTGCGTGAAGCACAAAATTAAGACTGTTTATACAGCCGCAATGAATGTGAGAACTCGGTCATGCAAGCTACCTGCCCTGCATTCACAATAAACGCGAAGCACCCCTGCTATAGTGTATTTGGATTTATCTATCTTACCATCATTTTTTACAATGTTTCCTAAACCTGCTTAAGAAAATCACCCCACAGCAAGATGCTACTAAATTGAAATAGTGGAATTTTGGGCTCAGCTGACCAAGACCAAGTATGAAAAATAGTTGACCCATGTACAGGATTTGCAGAAGTTCGCAACTTCTCCAGGGTCATCCTGGGATGACATGGTTGCATTTCTGATTAGTGCTCTCCTTGTTTGGCTTGTTAGTTTAGGTGGATGTCTTCATATGTTTTCAATAGCGCCATACCCATTTCAAAGGCAAAACCACTTTTCCGTTTTCTTTCAATATTTGCAAAATAATGTACAATCTTGCTTTCACTTAAGTAATCTGTTACCGGAATCCAAAATAAAAACATGCATTTATGTAAACATAACTAGTTTAAGTTGTATTAATAATTTTGCAAGTCACTGTATATAATACATACAAATTCTTACCTCTTCAACATAATTGTGCCCGACTGGCTGGATGTCTCCTTGACCCCCACCTTTGTCACTGTCCTCATCGTCACTCTGAACAGAGTGCTGCATTGGCTCATCCGTTTTAGCAGCTACAGCCACTTCTGGGGGTGCTGGAGAGCTAAGCAAGGGCTTATTGCCTGTTTGGGATGGTTTCACTGGGTTATTTAAAAACTGGTAATGAAGTAAGTGATAAAGGAAAATAATCAGACTTACAAACCACGGCTTTTGATAGAGCTGGTTTCTTTATCAATATGAGGGCCTTTACAGTACTCAGGGTTGTCTGCTTAGGAGCTCCTATTGTAGTAGAGGTGGTGGAGACAGAGGAGGAGCTGGAAACTGAGTGCTTTCCTGCTACTGTTGTAACAGTTGGATTTGAGTTGACAAGTACAGGTTCTGAGGATGGTATAGGTTTTCCCAGCTTGGTGTGAAGTTTAACCACCTGTTAATTAAAGTAAACAAAATTGATGTTTATTGTGTGATTTTGACTGCTATACACATAATGTATTGTGTTTAGCGTTCTTCCTTAGTGCAGTAACAAATGCAGTGAGGCAACTAAGTAGTCAGTCACCTATTGCACAAGTTCTCCCACTTAAAGATTAGGGAGGCCTATAATTTCTATCATAGGAATAACTGTGAGAGACAGAATGAGAAAAAAAACAGAAAATCACATTTGTCTGATTTCTAAAGAATGTATTTGCAAATTATTACTTATGATTTGATTTTAAACGTGCATTTGACACGATCAATTATTTAAAACTCCTGTCAAGACTGTCTGAATTTAACTTCAGCGCTCATTCAGTTCAGTGGGTGAAGTCATACCTTTTAGACCGGCAGCAGTGTGTGCAAGTAGGTGACAGTAGGTCCCCCTTTCTCCATTACAACATAGGGGTTCCTCAGGGGTCAATTTTAGGCCCCTTACTTTTCTCACTGTATGTCAATGACTTACCAAGTATCTGTAAGAATGTGGACACCATAATGTATGCTGATGACACAGTTATTTTTACAAAAGCAAGAAGTGCAGAGGAGGCAGCCCTTTGTCTGTCAACAGTTCTTGATGATCTACAGAAATGGCTACGTGACTCCTATCTCTGTCTCAATGTTAAAAAAACTGTATCTATGTTCTTTTCCAAGCCAAACACAAAATTAACCCCAGCAAAGGTAAACCTGGGAGGTGTAGCCTTAGAGAATGTAGAACAATTTAAGTATCTTGGTATACTGCTAGATTCAAAATTGTCATTCCATAATCATGTCAAAAAAATAGTAAAAACCGTAAAATTAAATTTACATAATTTTAAACATATTCAAGCTTCCTTGACTGACCAAGCAGCACTAACTTTCCTACATTCCATGATACTGTCTCATATAGAATACTGTATCACGAGCTGGTCTTATGCTGGTATCTCAGCGATTAAACCAGTCGAGTCATGCTACAAAAGGGCACTTAAAATCCTTGACAAAAAACCTCTCTCTTTCCACCACTGTCAAATCTTAGATAAATACAAGTTACTAAGTTTTTCCAATTTTAAGTTATTTAAATCTACTTGCTTGATCTACAAAGTCTTGCATGATTTGGCCCCCCCACCAATGAGTGAGTTCATCAAGCAGAAATCTGTTAGTGGCGCTGCTCGCTTGACTCGAGCGACAGTCAGAGGAGACTGTGATCTCCCACTGAGAAGGACAGCCTTCTCCCAAAATGTCCTGTCAGTCCAGGGCGTAAAGGACTGGAACAGAATACCAGCATCAGTGAGGGACTGCACCAGCCTCCCCACATTTAAGCATCAGTTAAAACTGTGGCTGAGGGACTCTCAAATATGTGAGCATGTGTAACATAAGTCTTGAATAAAGAAGCAGGGGAACAACAGGGAACAGTACAGAAGGGAATAGCGTAGTAGGGAACGGTGCAGTAGGGAGTAGTGCAATAGGGAGTAGTGCAATAGGGAGCAGTGCAATAGGGAGCAGTGCAATAGGGAGCAGTGCAATAGGGAGCAGTGCAATAGGGGGCAGTGCAATAGGGGGCAGTGCAATAGGGGGCAGTGCAATAGGGGGCAGTGCAATAGGGGGCAGTGCAATAGGGAGCAGTGCAATAGGGAGCAGTGCAATAGGGAGCAGTGCAATAGGGAGCAGTGCAATAGGGAGCAGTGCAATAGGGAGCAGTGCAATAGGGAGCAGTGCAATAGGGGGCAGTGCAATAGGGAGCAGTGCAATAGGGAACAACAGTGCAGTAGGGAACAACAGTGCAATAGGGAATAGTGTAGTAGGGAACGGTGCAGTAGGGAGTAGTGCAATAGGGAGCAGTGCAATAGGGAGCAGTGCAATAGGGAGCAGTGCAATAGGGGGCAGTGCAATAGGGGGCAGTGCAATAGGGGGCAGTGCAATAGGGAGCAGTGCAATAGGGAGCAGTGCAATAGGGAGCAGTGCAATAGGGAGCAGTGCAATAGGGAGCAGTGCAATAGGGGGCAGTGCAATAGGGAGCAGTGCAATAGGGAACAACAGTGCAGTAGGGAACAACAGTGCAATAGGGAATAGTGCAGTAGGGAACAGTATAATAGAGAACAGTACAGTAGGGAACGGTGCAGTAGGGAACAGTGCAATAGGATGTGTGAAATACAATGTCTCAAGTCTTTCTGTCAATTGTTGTTTACTGTCTCACATGTCTGTACGTGTTCAGCTGTCCTTGTACATGTCCTGTATATAGTCTTGTGTACACTGTATTTTTTGCATGATTTGTATTGTTACATCTTGTTACATCTTGTTTGTTTTTATGTTCTTTATTTATTTATTTATTTTATTTATTTATTTATTTGGGTGTTAAAGGAGGTACGATGCATATTAATGAACATTTAACAAATGTAAATATGCCAGATTATAGCCTTAGGCCAATTTCCATCTGCAGACCTCCTGGCAGGTTGATGTTAACAAAGAACATAAAGGTTTTTTGTCAAGGATTTTAAGTGCCCTTTTGTAGCATGACTCGACTGGTTTAATCGCTGAGATACCAGCATAAGACCAGCTCGTGATACAGTATTCTATATGAGACAGTATCATGGAATGTAGGAAAGTTAGTGCTGCTTGGTCAATCAAGGAAGCTCGAATATGTTTAAAATTATGTAAATTTTTTGTTAACATCAACCTGCCAGGAGGTCTGCAGATGGAAATTAGCCTAAGGCTATAATCTGGCATATTTACATTTGTTAAATGTTCATTAATATGCATTGTACCTCCTTTAACACCCAAATAAATAAATAAAAATAAAATAAAATAAATGCAAAATAAGTATTTGGTCAATAACAAAAGTTAATCTCAATACTTTGTTATATAGCCTTTGTTGGCAATGACAGAGCTCAAACGTTTTCTGTAAGTCTGTTGCTGGTATTTTGGCCCATTCCTCCATGCAGATCTCCTCTAGAACATTGATGTTTTGGGCTGTCACTGGGCAACACAGACTTTCAACTATCACCAAAGATTTTCTATGGGGTTTAGATCTGGAGACTGGCTAGGCCACTCCAGGACCTTGACATGCTTCTTACAAAGCCACTCCTTTGTTGTCCTTGCGGTGTGTTTGGGATCATTGTCATGCTGAAAGACCCAGCCACGTTTCATCTTTAATGCCCTTGCTGATGGAAGGTTTTCATTCAAAATCTCATGATACATGGCCCCAATTATTCTTTCCTTTACACAGATCAGTCGTCCTACTCCCTTTGCAGAAAAACAGCCCCAAAGCATGATGTTTCCACCCCCCATGCCTCACAGTAGGTATGGTGTTGTTTGGATGCAACTCAGCATTCTTTCTCTTCCAAACACGGTGAGTTTTTACCAAAAAGTTCTATCGTGGTTTCATCTGACCATGTGACATTCTCCCAATCCTCTTCTGGTTCATCAAAATGCTCTCTAGAAAACTTCAGACAGGCCTGGACATGCACTGGCTTCAGCAGGGGGACACGTCTGGCACTGCAGGATTTGAGTCACTGACGGCGTTGTGTGTTATTGATTCTAGCCTTTTGTTATGTTTGGGCACCTTTCCCCCCCCCCTTTTGGTTGTATCTTATCTTTTTTTGTCCAGGTATTTTTTGGGTTTTATAGTTATTTTTGTAAGATTGTGTTTTGTATAAGTATATTTTATAGGTTGCATTTTTGATAACGTTTTTGTAACTTATTTTGTATATTTTGCAGCTTGGGTCGGGAGTATAAGAAGCGCTGTCCTGGTGCGCTCCCGCCCCTCTCTGCTCCCAGCCTTTTGCAAACACCTGCTGAGGTGAGCGTGCACGCGCTGCGCGCTCCCTCCTAGTCCTGGTTTGCGGCCTCCCCAGACGCCGCATGGTTTGGTTGTTTCTTTAGCCATTTGGTTAGCATTTTTTCCTTGTCCTTATTTTTGTTTGATCTGGTGGGTCCGGTGGTTAAATTTTTGTTTGAGGGTGTAGCTAGCTTTGTTTATTCTTTAGTTAGGGTGCCGGCATCGGATCCGGACGGCCCTGTATAGGGTTGGTTCGGTGTCGGCCCATTTTTGTTTGTTTTGGCTGGCCCACCAGGTCCACCTTTAATTTGATTACTTTGGGTTTTTGTATTCTGGACACGGGGTTGGTTTGATTTAATATTCATATTAATTAATAATAACAAAGAGTTCCGTTAAAAGAACATGTATAAATAAAATCATTATTTTTGAACTCTAAACCTGTCTGTGTCCTTAAAATATGTTTTGTCCTTCGGGTCGTAACACCTTTGTTACTTTCGTCCCGGCTCTCTGCAGTTCATTCACTAGGTCCCCTCGTGTGGTTCTCATCGTTCTTGTGATCATTTTGACTCCACGGGATGAGATCTGCGTGGAGCCCCAGATCAAGGGAGATTATCAGTGGTCTTGTATGTCTGTTGTAGGTGACCAAATACTTATTTCCACCAACATTTGCAAATACATTCTTTTTTTTCTCATTCTGTCTCTCATAGTTGAGGTATACCTATGATGGAAATTACAGGCCTCCCTCATCTTTTTAAGTGGGAGAACTTGCACAACTGGTGGCTGACTAAATACTTTTTGCATATTGTATATGCATAGACAGAAATCATGATTTCAATGATCACAGAGGTTAAAGGGCCATTACAAATCTAATCTGATTAAAAAAATTGTCTTACAATGTGTATACAATCCTTTTAAACATATTTCTTGGTGAGAAATATATTAGTTTTCTAACTGTTTTTATTTTTATTTTATGTTCAAATAAACATTCAAACATTTGGGTATGACAATTTGTATCATATATAATGAAAACTGGCAGATGGTCACTGGCATCATTTACTAGCAGACCACCCGTTATGTTTTTGTCTAAAATATTACAGAAAATGTTATCTCTCAGAGTGGCACTGGATGCTGGGATACTAGTAGGTCTGATTATAAGTGAATAGAGACTTATGGAAAACATACAGTCTATAAAATCTGGGAATTTATTATTTAACAGTCCCATTGATACCATATGATCTTACTTTTGTGAGAAGAATGGTTCTAGCTTCAGAATGTCTAGTGCTGCAATTGCATTTGAGATCAGAAGCACAAATTAGCACTCCCGACTCCTCTCATGTTGATTATTTTACATTGGCAGCTTTATGTGCAGGCTGGTTAAGTGTTATTTTTCAGAAATGGAATTTAAGCTTTACATATAGTATATGTAACTAGAAAGCAAGGGTAGAAAAATCCTGAGAATAATTATACAATTACCTTTTGATGTTTAGCTCCACGAATATGCGCTGCATAAGCGTCCACTCCAGTACATGAGACATCACATAACTCACAGCGCAGTTGAGTCTGGACTCCTCTAGGCCCAGTTCCAGTTCCTGTTTGTCCCACTGACTTTAAAGCAGCCTCTTTTTTTTTGTGCTTTTGACCATCCAAATGCTCTCTGTAAGTCTGATTATAAAAACATTTTAGTTAGCGCATTTCTACACAATTCTAGAATTGATTTGATTTGTAAATAATTTCAATGTTGAAAATAATTCACCATACAGAACCATCTTTTACCTGAGGGCCAGCACAGCTGATCTTGCAAATGTCACAGTAATGAAGCTGGGGTTGCTTTGGTGGACCTTTAGGTTTTAACAACTTGTTTTGATGAAATGAGGGTTTTTTATAAGTGTTTCCTGCAGATGATGCTACCATGTTACTTCCTGAATTGCTCCAAGATGAACTTGTGAGCTGCTTATGAATGGATTGTGTGGGTATTTGGGGTTGTTGAGCTGGTGGTGGCTGCTGCTGTAGGGGCTGGTGTTGGGTGTGAGTGGGCTGTGCAGCTTGATAATACGAAGGAGTCGATGTGGAAGTGTATCCAGCAGAATCATAACCGGAGTAGTTAATGCCTGAAAGAAAAGATTCACTTGTGGAGTCATTGCAAATTCCAAACATGTTCACATTACGTAAACTGCTTCTTTCACAAACCTGAATAAGATGTGGCTGATGCAGTGGGACTGAAAGAAGAACCTAAGCTGTAGGATGAAATTGTGGTTGGGGGCTGCTGGACACTGGTGGATGCTGGATAGACATTGTAGCTGTTTGACACTGCTGGTGCGATTGGTTTCAGAGCACTCACTTGCCTCTGTGGAGGAGGTGGCTGGCTATACACTGTGCTTGGTATAGGATTGTAGGCACTTTTGACTCCCACTATAAATAATGTCAATAACAGTGATTTAATAAATTGGCCTTCCATTTGTTTTATGAAAAAAAAAAGTTAATTTACATTATATCTAAGGCTCCACTCACCTGTTTGATAGTAATTTTCTGTGGCAGTCCTTTGTGCTGTGGTGTTACTAGTCTGATAGTATTGTTTATTCTCATAGGAAGTCACAGCAGCCGGGCGAGCATAGTTGTAACTGTCCTGTTTCAGGGGTGATAAATATTGTAAACTGATTACAACACAAAACATTGTCAATGAAAACCTTTAAAACAGAGCATGACTAACTGACAGAAATATACCTGGTATGGCTGCGGTGTGGTGGTGGGCTGAGGGGGAGCAGGGGGATCAGGCTGTCTGTAGGTATACTCTGGAAGGGACTGGTGGCTTTGATACGTAGGGTATGGAGAAGAGGCAACTTGACGCGCTGCCTGTATTGGTGGTGCAGAGTAAGATGCAGCAGTCACAGCTTGAGCTACAGCAGGAGCTTGCTGGACACTATAACTGCCCGTAGATGGGTGAGAGTATCCCTGTGGCGGCTGAGTGCTACCATGTAAACCAAAGACAAAAATCACATCATAATTGGGTTGTCAGCTAAGAGTGCACCTCAATGTTGTTGCATCAAGTAAATGCAAATTCAGATCCAAGTTTCAGCTTCCAGTATCATGTAACATTTTGAAGACATTGTATCCACTCTAGAACATAACAGATTTTTGTTTTAAATAGTGCTAATCAATGGCATCAGTATAAATATTTTTTTACCATTCAGAAAATCATTCATTCATCACTTTAGGGCCTAACTATAATGAATTGTATTATAATTTCACCTAGTTAATATTACAGCTTGACAACCGATAATCAGACAATGGAAGTGAACAGTCATCCAATAAATGAATTCGGAAAAATTATTTCACATTTCTTATTTTGTTTTGTAAAGTTATGGATTTAAATCGATTTTGCTAAGTCAATGGAGACATAGTTAAAAAAAAAGCTTGAAACCCACGAATACAATATGTATCTAACTATATCTGAGGGGAGCGGGTTCTCATTACTCTGGCAGAGGTTGCACCATAGACTGTAAATATGTTGTACCGGACTATGGTTAATGTTAATGGTAAATGTCGCATATAGCTTCATTAAACAGGTGAAGCTTTGGCCTAAACGACCTCCGCTGCTAGCTTAGCGTTAAACTGGTCACACCATCGCAATGTCCATGCTGTGCTCGTAAACCCATCAAATGCTCCACCGAAACTACTTGCAACCTGAAATGTACACTGACATGCACATGCAGCAGTTTAATTACCTGTACTGACCGGCACCATGTGAAAAGCCAAAATAATTGCTTGCAGCCATCTTGGTGTTTCCCGCAGTCGGGGCTACAGCTACCGCGGTAAAGTGGGCCGCATCTTTCACCTCCGAAGTAAAACGGCCCGCATCGAGAGAAAAGCAGTGCGCGTTTTGTTGACTGCTTACGGTAATAGCAGAACAGCCTTTCGCAGTCAGCTTTTCTCCTCGAACAGAAAGCGCGCTTAGGAGACTCGTTTTGTGAATAAACCCTTATTTGGAAAAGCATGTAAAAACTTAAAATGTTCGACATTTAATTTGGTCAAAAAGTGAAATTTTCAGCTGCTGTCCATTTTTACAGTAAAGACTTGAGTATCTTATTCCACTGGGTGTATGACCTCACCACTGCCTTCACCGCTGTGCCTACAACCACAAACCTTTACTTTGGAAATTGTGGGTAAAATTGAGACAAATTACACGTTTTAGTCCAAAATACACAAAACTAAGAAAATTCCCACCTTTGATCTACTGCAGTGTCTCCCAAAGTGGGGTCCGCGGCCCCCTGGTGGGCCGCGAGGGTACTGCAGGGGGGCCGCGGGAGGTCATAAAAAAAATAAAAAAATAATATAATTATTTTATGTTAAATTTATAATGTTTTGTTTGTAATATTAAAATATTTGTGTTCATTATTTGACTTGAATAATCCACTGTAATCATTTTTGTATTACAATGTTTGTAGCAGAGGCTATTTCCCCAAAATAAAATAACCAGAAGAGCCTATTCTTAATGTTGTCTTCTTGGTTATTATTTTGGGGGGCCACGCAGACCCGTCAGATTTTTAAGGGGGCCTCGGTGTTACTGAGTTTTGGGAATGGCTGATCTACTGTAACTTTTTTACTGTAAAAAGGTGTGAGACTAATTTCACTGGATTCATGACCTCAACATTGCCCTCTACCACTGTACCAAAGACAAGAAACATTTACTGTAGAAATTTTGAGAAATACTGATTTAAAGAAGCCATTTTGGTCCAAAATACCTCCAAAATAGTCAAAACATGTCATTTTTGATCTACTGTATCTTCTTACTGTAAAAAGGTGTGCGACTAATTTCACTGGATTCATGACCTCAACATTGCCCTCTACCACTGTACCAAAGACCAGGAACTTTTACTGTAGAAATTTGGAGAAATATGGAGTTAAAGTAGCCATTTGGGTCCAAAATAGCCTAAAAATGGTCAAAACATGTCACTTTTGATCTACTGTAACTTTTCACTGTAAAAAGGTGTGTGCTGTGTTTCAGTTGCTCTATTGTATTCTGGTCCAATGCATGATTTATAACATGAGCCAAGCATATTGCATATTGTATATTGTAAGCCACAAAGACATGTTTAAAAACCTATTATCGCAAGAAGTATTCATCTCTCACTTTGATATTTGATTATCATCTTCAAGGCATTTGGATGGATCAACTAACACAAACAGAATATTTTACTTTCATTCTCAAGGTTTTAAAAGATCATAATTAAAGCTAAATCTGAGAGCAGCTGTTCATGGATTCTGTTTGTGGTGTTGATGGTGTGTTGGATTGTGGACAGCACAGATCAGCAGTGTGTTTGAGGAACCGTGGACAGATGGCAGAGGTCAACACTGGCTCATGATAACCTCTGGCTGACCAAGAAGCACTGCAGGTCAATTATATCGGATTAGGATTAGAGGTGGGACGAGCACACAGAAATGGATTATGTAGAAACCTAATTTACAAGTAGGACGGGGGTAATACTGCTATGACAACTCTATGCTCATGCTAGTGGGGAAAGAGAGTGAAGCCCTCAGCACAGAGCAGGTGACGGGGAGACGTGTATGATCAGAGCGTGTTTGATTGTGTGTAGGGCTGTAATTATACAGTTATTTTGATAATTTACAAGTTGACCAATTATTATCAAGTGATGTCCCTGGCCCTGGATGGAATTATCTGAATCATAAAGCCTCTCGTCAGCATGTTTGAGTCTATGTAAGGTTAAAAAAAGATTCATAAATAATTTAACAATATCAATAATCAATTAAAGCCGCAAGCGGCGTCAAACGGCCCTCGCCGCCCCGCGCAACTCCCCACACCGCGCGTGCCGCCCCGCACCACGCCGCCCCGCACCACGCCGCCCCGCACCACGCCGCCCCGCACCACGCCGCCCCGCACCACGCCGCCCCGCACCACGCCGCCCCGACCACCCGCCCCCCACGCCGCCCCCGCACCACGCCGCCCCGCACCAAGCCGCCCCGCACCACGCCGCCCCGCACCAAGCCCCCCCCACCAAGCCGCCCCGCACCAAGCCGCCCCGCACCAAGCCGCCCCGCACCAAGCCGCCCCGCACCAAGCCGCCCCGCACCAAGCCGCCCCGCACCAAGCCGCCCCGCACCAAGCCGCCCCGCACCAAGCCGCCCCGCACCAAGCCGCCCCGCACCAAGCCGCCCCGCACCAAGCCGCCCCGCACCACGCCGTCCCGCATCACGCCGCCCCAAGCCGCAACGCGCCGCTCCACAACGCCCCACACTACGCCGCACCACACCGTACTACGCAGCACCGCGCAAAGGAGGTGGCGCCGCCGTGTGATGATTTGTTCCCGTAGACATAGAAGAATGTTAGTCAAATTGTAATGAATATAAGTAGAACTGGTTTGGCTCCCCATGTAAACTTTGACTCAGTCTGTAGGGGGCGCTAATGGGCCAATTTAAATATTTCACTTTCACCTGACCTAAACCCTGGAGTTGAACAATGGATTCAAGTTTAATGCAAATCAGTCTTTGTTTGTGCAAAAGGGAAAAAAAATTATGTTGTCAAAACGGCCAAAAAAACCCTCACATTTTGCCGCTCCGCTGCTCAAACAACGTTTCACTGATCAAAATTCCCTGAAGTCATTTTGAAGGTAAATGTGTTGAGATGATTTAGAACAATTTTGAGGCCAATCGGAGTCGCTTTCCAACCGACATGTATGAAAATGATTGGTTTTCATTTTTCCATTTTGCAATCAAATTTATGGGCTTCCTGTTTATCAGAGGGCTTAGCCATGTTAAAATTTTTTCCATGTCTTGACTTGAGGAACATGTGTTCCAAATTACATGGTTCTACGAAAATTTTGACCTCGAACCCCACCCATAGGCATTTTTAAATTGGCTGTTGTAGGTGGCGCTATAGAGCCAATTTCAAAATGTTAACTTTCAAATGACCTAGACCCAAGAGTTGAACCATGGATTCAAGTTTTGTGCAAATCAGACATTGTTTGTGCAAACGGAAGCAATTTTTCTATTGTCAAAAACTGAAAAAAAATAAGCCACTTTTTGGCGCTCCGCTGCTCAAACAACGTTTCACTGATCAAAAGTCATTTTGATGGTACATGTGTTGAGATGATGGGGAGCGATTTTGAGGCGAATAGGTGAAACGGCCGAGGCTGTTTTGATGTTTGTGTGAGGTGTACATTTGCAATGAATGGAGAGCGTTTGTCGTCGCCACGGCAACGGGGTAAAAAATAAGCCTTGGTCCCTATTGACTTTTTGAACATTTTGAAAAAACTACATTTGAAAATGCCCATCTAAAAGTTTGAAATAGTCTATAGGGGGCGCTAATGTGTCAATTTGAATCAATTCACTTTCAAATGACCTAGACCTTAGAGTTGAACAATGTATTAAAGTTTTGTGCAAATCAGACTTTGTTTGTGTAAACGGGAGCAAATTTAATGTTGTCAAAAACTGCCAAAAAAGGTCACATTTTGCCGCTCCGCTGCTCAATGTTTTTCTGATCAAAAATCCCTGAGGTAATTTTGAAGGTACATGTGTTGAGATGATGTGGAGCGATTTTGAGGCGAATCGGTGAAACGGCCGAGGAGGAGTCGCTTTCCAACCGACATGTATGAAAACTTTTGATGTTCATTTTTCCATTTTGCAGTGAAATTTATGGGCTTCCTGTTTGTCAGAGGGCGGGGCCATAATAATATTTTTTTCTTGTCTTGACTTGAGGAACGTGTGTACCATTTCATGACTATACGACAAACTTGATCTCAAACTCCCATAGGGGTATTATTTTGGCTGTTTTTTTAGTCTCATAAAAATAAACACCAAAATATCAAATCTTTCACCAGGTCTGATTTTTGGGCAAAATTTAACAACTTTTCATGCATGTTCAGGGGGTCAAATTAAGGCTCAAAGTGCAGAAGAAAAAAGAAAGAAATAAGGATTTTTTTTTTCAACGTCTCGAGCAAAAACAATATAGGTTTCAATGGCACAAGATACATAATTTTAAAGCGTTTGAGTTTACGCACGCAACTGTCACGTTTTGGTGAGACGCACCGCCACCATTTGTTTTCACCATTGTGAAAGCAATAGGCCCTTACCCCGTTCGGGGCTCGGGCCTAATTAGTTGTGATTAAGGGATTCACTTTACAGTCCTAGTTGGAACCAAATAAGAGTCTGCTTCATCCATCCCCTTTTCAAATAAGGTATTTCTATTTATTCTTGTTTATTATATTGAAATTCATTATTACTATGAAATACTATCTATCCTAGTTCTATGGAAATATTTTTTAGATAATAAATAATCTAAAAATGTTCCCAACAACCTGCCTATAATTCTGCTGTAGTGTATTAATAAAGGACTCAGTACAGTACATTATTAAGATGACTCGAGGACGTCACCTCCCAGGATACAAAACTTTTACAGTAATGGGTTACATCCTCCGCAGCTGATTTTTTTTTTTTTACAGCTTCCTGTCGCTTTTGGAATTACTATGCGTCAATCCCAATAATGCATCGGTTTTTGAATAGTACTTTTTTGGACGCTCGTATGACATTATTCATTAATTCTGTACACTGTGGTGGTAAATCACTAGCCACAGCTGCCCTGGGGTAGACGTTTAGAAAGGCTGGCAATGTGTGCCCTCTGACGACCACTGCACACAATAGGCACTGGTTAGCTTCAGGCAGATGTAGCCAGTAGTGACAGGATGGGACTATTGATCCCTAAAGAGCATAAAAGTCATGGCATTTCCAGCTGTCATAAACAAAGCAATAACTTTTTGGGTA